CTGAGATTTTGACCTTAGTGGCCAGTTGCAGAAGGGGAAGGGTGAGGGGGAGGGAGGAGAGAGAGAGAGACGGAGGGGGAGAGGGAGAGGGGGAGGGAGGGAGAGAGGGAGAAAGCGAGTATGAACAGGGTGTAGATATTTATGGGCAAAACTGGGGTGAGGGGGAGCAGGGGGGGAGTGGGCTGTTACTTCTTTATTGGCTGGGAGTTTGCACCACTTCAGGGATCGGAAGTGGCCATTCAAAGTTCACGCCTTTCATAGGGATTGGAGGTGATGGTTCACGCGCCATTCAAAGTTCCCGCCATTCAGTACATCACAGTCCTAAGCTCCTGGAACAGAAGCGCTGGAGGCACCATCTTTACCAACACCCATGACAATGGCGTCCCTGGGGTTGGGGCTGCAGTACCTGACTCAAAGCCATCTTGTCATTGGGTCGGCCGACATCTGCACAAAGGTGAACAAATTCTGAGAGGGTCCCCTTTTCCCTGTGAGGCAGAGGATGTCCTGGAAGGCCTTACCTGAGTTCTCCACTGCTAGCTGCTTACCACCCAACTCACAGGCACCTGAGTCCCCCATGGACCTGTGAGCTGCTTGGTACAAGTGCTCTACAAAGTCGGAGAATGGTTCTTCTGAGCCCTGTTTGATCTTAGTCAAACCAGATTAGACTGATCCCGGGAAGAAATTGGCTGCCAGGCCTTGTTTGCCCGTGAATTAATCTGATCATAAACCTCCAAATCATAGTTGAACTGCGTCTCTAAATCTGCAAATTCACCCATTCCCATCAACATCTCCAAAGGGGTCTCACGATTCTGTCTCCTGTTTCTCTTAAATTGCTCAGTACCAAAATCTGTCCAGTTAGACCCCCAGAGAAGGCAGTCACCGCCATTCAGACAAGCCCTGGCCATGGACACCCAGTCATTGGGCAGAAGGGGTTTTGGAAACCGAGTCGAGCACTCTTTGTATAAATGGGAATTAGGGCCATAAGTACCTCAAGCATTTTTAATTCTTTTAAGGTTTTAAAAGGAATAATAGTGTGAACGTGGACATTCTGGTTTTGCTCATTAACCTGTTCAAAAAACTGGAAGAAGCTGAAAACCTGTAAAGTCACCATGGGGGTGACCAGGGTGTACAGGTGGAGGCCAACACCCCTGTCCAGGAGGCACATGTCCCTGTGGAGCTGAGGTAGACCCCCAGGCAGGTTCCATAGAACAGGGAGACAACTGAGAGGTGAGAAGCGCAGGTGGAAAAGGCCTTGTACTTCCCTCCTGCTGTGGAGATCCGCAGGACAGAAGCCACAATGTTAGAATAAGAGACAAGGATCCCAGCAAGAGGGAAAGACCCCATGATGCCTGTCACTATGTACAATATGACACTACTGAAGAAGGTATGGGCAGGTGAGCTTGAGGACCTCAGGGAATTCACAGAAATAGTGTGGGATTCCCAGGTCTGTGCAGAAGGAGAGCCTCAGGAAGGGCTCCCAGCACACTGACGAGCCAGCTCAGGAGAAGAACTGGGCACAGAGCTTGGGGCTCCTGAGGACCGTGTAGTGCAGGGGCCGGCATATGGCCATGAAGTGGTCCTAGGCCATCACAGTAAGAAGTCCCATGTCCAGCAGTCCAAAAACAGTGAAGAAGTACACCTGGGTGATGGAGCCTGCGTAGGTAATGGCCTTGCTCTGTGTCTGGATGTTCACCAGCATCTTGGGGATGGTGGTGGAGGTGAAGCAGAGGTCAGAAAGGACAGGTTGGAGAGGAGGAAGTACATGGGTGTGTGCAGGTGGGGGTCTGAGATGGTGGCCAGGATGATGAGCAGGTGGCCAAAGATGGTCATCAGGTACAAGGACAGGAACAGCCCAGAGAGAACCGACTGCATCTCTGGCTTCTCAGAAAGTCCCTGGAGGAGAAATCCTGGAGTCCCCGTGTGGTTTTCTGGTTCCATGTAAAGTAAATGTCCCCAGGGGAGAAGCGGCAGCTAGAGGGAGTCCACGGCCACCTCAGGACCCTGGCAGCCTGGGTGTGGACCCAGTGCTCTAGGAGGCATTGGCTTGGTGGCCCCTCCTCTGCTGTGGGTCACACTGGGGTTCCTTAGTGCCACTAGTTCTCTTTTGTTGCCACCACCAGCTGGAAAACCCAGTCACCATCCTAATTTATTTATTTTTATTGTTTTTATTATTAGTTGCTCAAGACAATACAATGATCTTGACACATCATACATTTGATTCAAACAGGGTATGAATTCTCATTTTTCCACGTGTACAGATTGCAGGATCACATTCGTTATACATCCATGTGTATACATACAGCCATCCTAGTGGCAGTTGTATTCTGCTGCCCTCCCTATCCCCCTCCCCTCCCCTCCCCTCCTATCTCTATTCTATACCCATTCTACTGTGACACTTCTCTCTCTCTCTCTCTCTCT